CCATCCGTCCTGGGGCGCCTGGGTGGCTCAGTTGGTTAAGTGTCCAACTTCGCCTCAGGTCATGATCTCACAGTTCGTGGGTTCAAGCCCTGCGTTGGGCTCTGTGCTGACAGCTCACAGCCTGGAGCCTCCTTCAGATTCTGTTTCCCTCTCTCTCTCCGCTCCTCTCCCGCTCACACTAGGTCTCTCTCTCTCTCTCAAAAACAAAATAAATATTAAAAAATTTTTAAATTAAATCTATTCATCAGCCAACAAAGAATAATCAGATCATGTACAATTAGTTGTTAGAAGAAATTCAGGCATCTGTCTGTCCTTGAATTAACTGTTTTGTGGCTACCTTACTGAGTTTCCAGCCACTGTGTGTGGGTATGCCTCTCTATGCCTGTGCTCCAGTCTTAGGTAACACTCTTTGCAACCATTGATAATATGGATTTTCCATAGTTTTATCAGGAGTGAGGATGGCATATCATGATCCTTTGGGGGAATAGCCCAGGCTCCCCTCCAGATACCAAACAGCTCGTCAGCAAGCAGACAGAGGCCTCAGCCCTGAGGAGCAGAGAAAGCACTGCCCTGAGACAGCAGTGAATGTGGGGTCCCCAAGCAATGTTGTACTGCCCCCCATGGAGCTGGCCAGCCACAGGACATTGACTTTCCCCTATCCTAACCACAACACTGAGCACTCAGTTCAGTCTAAACCCCAGACCACAGCAGGACGCAGGCAAAAGAATCAAACTCACATAACTGTTGATTATGACTGCCATACCAACAGGTTGGACTGATACTATTTCATTGACCTGGCCCAGATCTTCTCCTGGTATTGGGGGCATGGAGCCTGAGGAGTTGCAAGACTTCTGTTCACTCGTTTCCTTCACAAAGTCGCTGTGAAATTCAAATCAAGGATGACAAAGTTCCAAAGACAGGCTTAGCTTTCTGTTCCCCTGCCCTAAAAATGATCCACAAGCTGTGTGATCTCTGGCACGTTACTTGCCCTCTCTGCCATTAGGGGGAAAGTGAGGGGCTTGCTTTAGGCTAATGTTAAGGTCATCTTCAGTTTTGAAAATCCTTTCCTCCTTCTGAAGGAATTGGATTCTTCTTCATTTAGTGACTCCAAGAGGGTCCCAGAAACTAGACAGGACTAAGGCAAGTGCACATTCAGCGTTGACCTTCCAGAAGCTGTTAAGACTGGACAATGAAATTACTGAGCACTCTAGATCATCAAAATAAAGTTAGCACCATTCCCCAGGGCCGCCTCCGGCAGACAGGAGAAGGGCATCGAGCGTACTGTGGTCAATGCGTTGGGTTTCGCTGTGTGGAGTGACAGGGCTTGCTCTTGCTGGGGCTCTCTCTCTCTTAGGCTGCTCTCTCTTCTAAGATTCTGTGGACTTATGTTTTTAATAGTTTCCATGAAAAAGGAGGCAGGAAGACTCGGGCAAAACCATTCCCTGTGTTCCAAACCTAACAAGAAATAGAGCGAGACCCTTCAATGACTCAAGTTTATTCGTGAAAGTCAATGTGAATTTGATTTGTGACATATATGGATGTGTGCTCTTCTGTTTTGTTAAAGTGCTGTTAGTTCAGAGGAAGAACTGCAGAAACTGGCGCAGTCCCTCCCCATTCCTTTTCGCTCCGAAGGAAATTGTATTCACTCCTGGGCTCTCGCTGGAGGGTTGGAGGGAGGGATGGAGATAATGCTCCATGAAGGGTTAATTAAGACATGCACCCCTCTCTTTTTAAAAACACTGTTTAAATGCCTTGTTTCTTCTCGCTGTTTTCCCTCAACTCCAAACACTGGTAAAACGTAACTCTTCCAGGAGTCTAGCTTTGCTATAAAGTAATTTATTCTCCTTTTTTTCTTTAATTACAGTATTCTCAAATGAGAGATGAAGTATTCAAGTCAAACTTGGTCTGTGCGTTTATGGTTCTCCTATTTATCACGGCAATACAAAGTTTGCTTCCTTCTTCAAGGTAAATACGAAAGGACTCAGTCATCAGGTGAAATGTCTTTGTGAGTTGATGGTCCCTCAGCTGGGCCAGCCCACTGACCTTTACAAGGGATCAGAATCTAAAATAACGGAATCTAGGATCCATAATGAAATGTTTGCCAATATCGGGGTCTGTCCCGGTTGTCTTACTCAGCGCCATCTCCCTGCTCCACCGAGGCAAGAGCCGTTCCCCAATCTCAATAAAAACAACAACCAAAATCAAAATAGGTCCCGCTCTTACTTGACATTGTACCTATGAATGCGGCAAGTAAGTATCAAAGCCTATATCGCCATGGTCTCCTTCCTTTGTTAATTCCTCTTTGTGGTTCATAGATACAGCATCATAGCTTTCTGGGCCAGCAGAGGTGGCATTTTAATAACACTCTAAACACCTATATGTGGCCAGTCACCATTACAAATACTTTACGTGCAGTAACGCATAAAATCCTCATGGCAACCCTGTGAAGTAGGTACTACTGCTGTCCCCATTTTAAAGAAGAGAGGACTGAGGTCTGGAGTAATGGAATGGTTGGCACAAGAGCTTGTGGTTGAAAATGTTACAGCCTGGATTCAAACCCAGGACGTCTCCTTCCAGAGTCGGGCTCTTGATGCTCCATCCAGACACAGACTTATATTATATGGGTCATGGGCGCTGTAGCCAGTGTTGGGACCAAGTTCAGGATTAGGCTAGTGGCCATACTTTGTGCTCTTTCTGTACTTGGATGAAGCCCTTACCTGCTTTCTCAGGTAAATTCCCTTCTCCCAAAACTTACCATGAGTTTTCCCCTTTGATGCGATCGACAAATATTTGTTTAATGTCTAATACAGGCAAGCAACATGCTAGACCTTGAGTATGGTATAATTTTGTGGGAGGAGGTCTGCATCCTCTAAGACACACTAATGATGACTCCCAATCAGTGAGCACTTATTACCTGGCAGGAAAATGCTCAATCCTTTTCACGGATCGTCTCCACAAAGCCTCAAAAACAACCAGGAAATGAGGGCGCACTCCGATTCCCATTCTGTAGATGAGGATGCATCCAAGGTCACATACCTGAATAATGGCTGAACTGGGAGTTGAACGCAGAGACAGAGTCTGTGCTTTTAACTACTTACCTACTTTGTACCAAAATCAGCGATTCATGACGACCAGATGGTTTAAGGAAAAGTTTGCAGAAAAGCAATATTTTGAGCCGAGCAGGATGAGATGGGAGAACATTCCCAGTTTTTAAAAAAAAAGAGCATTGGCAAAGGCACGGAGGTGCGGAAACCCCTGTGTTTGTAGAATTGTGGGCACATGGGGAGTCTAGGTTAGAGGTTTAGGCAAGGCAACGGTGGGCGCCACGGCTGAAGAAGGAGTGAGCTAGCACAGATGCTGTGACCACAGTGATAAAAGGTGCTCAGGCTCAATAACACTCAGAGAATGGCCATGCTAGACCTCTCTCGATCAGCAGGGGTACCAGGAGAAGGAGACAGGTGGGGACAGAGGGAGTATATTTCTGAATCTCTCAAAATTCCCACATAGTGAACAGCTAGACAGCAGAGCCCAAAACCTCATGGACCGTTACAACAGAAGCAGGTTAGGCAGTTGCCCCACAAATTCCCAGATGGAAGTGGGTGGCCACAGTTTCCCAAGAGTCCCAGGATTGGTGTGACGTCAGCATCTGTGTGTGAGGAATCAGAAATAAGCAAGTAGGCACCTGTCATATCTAGGAACAAAAGAGCCCCAGGAGAGCCAGCTGGGGGCTATTCACTGGGAAGTGTCATGGGCCAGATTGAGAGCGCAGCTGAAAGCCAGAAGGGTTTGCCTAATCCAGCATCCAGGGGGTGCAAAGGACCACAGTAAGGTCTGCAGAGCACGAACCATCACACATGAAGACCCCCCCCCAAACCTACCACCTCACCTCCCTCCCAGGAGAGGCCTTGGAAGGACCTCTGTGAGGGAAATCAAGATTCCTCACAACAAGGAATATAGAGGAAAAAAAGGAAAGAGAGAGTCCTTGTGAAAGTGGAAAGAGAATGTAGCCATCACTTTTTTGGATGCCACAGGAAAATAACTACAGAAAGAGCTCTCCAGAGTTTAAAAAAAAAAAAAAAGCTCTCCTAAATCACACCTATTTCTAAAGGTTCAGCAAGGTTAATTTGGCACAAAAATGAGCAACAAAACATATTAGTGGCAGTCCCGTCCCGGCTATTACAGGGAAAAAAGGGAAAAAAAATAGATCAATATCCTCAGAGTTGATTAAAACACTGCAAAAAGACAGGCCCGCGACATATATCAAATCTTTAACCTGCTACTTCAAAAGGAATTGAAGCACTTAATGTGGTTCAAGACATGAAATAACAGTGTAGACCAGAATTAGAAAAACTTAGAAATTCGACAAGAAAGCTCAGGAAGGGAATAAAAATGACAAGACAGAGAGATTTCAGAAATGAAGACTTTACAAGAGGGAGCACGGAATGCATAAACACAGCAAGGAATGGCTTCAGAGGAACAGAAGGTGAAAAGGAAGGATTTTTTTTTTCATCAAAAAGAAGAATAAGAGGGTTCTCAGGGCCCCTCCCCCCCACCTTCCCGCCACACTGAGAAGAACCCAGAATATTAATGGTGGCTTATGGCTGAAAGGGCTACAAGACACAGATTCTTTCTGGGAAAGGGTGCTCAGAGGAGCCCAGTTCAAGAGCGGAGACGAAAAACAAGGACCCAAGAGGAATTTGAAGTCACCCATACATATATAGCTACTGCAAACACTACCCAAGAGGAATTTGAAGTTGCCCTTACATATACAGCTACTGCGGACACTAAACATAGCCCACCTCTGAGGGACATTTACCTAAATCCTCACAGTAAAGATAGATTCACCTCCATTTCTCTTACCTAATACAATATGACCAGTTTTCCACAAAAAAATTACAGGGCATTTCGAAAGGCAAGAAGAGGCAAAGCAATCATTAGAATCAGGTTCAGGTATGACAAAGATGCTGAAATTATCAGAGAATTTAAAATAGCTATTTGTAATGTATTAAGCGCTCCTCACAAATCTGCGTGTCATCCTTGTGCAGGGTCATGCCAGCCTTCTCTGTTTCATTCCAGTTTTCATCTATGTGGTGCTGAAGCAAGCACAGTATATTAGCTGTGTCAACAGAAAAATTAGACACCGTGCAAGAACAGATGTGCAGTATAGGTAGAGAGAAACTCTTAGAGTCAAAAGGAAATATGAGGAATGAAAACACTCCAACAGAAAGAATGAATGGGTTCATCAGTAGGCTCAACAAGGCCATGGAAAGAATTAGAGAGCTTGAATATATACAGGTCAATAGAAACTCGCAAGCTGAAACACAAAGAGAAAAATAAGTGGGCGAAGAAAAACAGGCCAAAGCATTTAAGGACTTCTTTAAATATAAAAACTGAAGTCAATTAAAAGTAAATGGAGAGAGAAACTTATACCATGCTAACAGTAATCAAAAGAAAGCTATTGTAACTATATTAAGTTCAGTCAAAGTAGACTCAGAACAAGGCAAATTAGCAGAGGTGAAGAAGGACATTACATAATGATAAATCAATTCTCGAAGAAAACATATGTATGTCATGTCTTGTATCTGTTTATGAAGAAAGTGTCAAAGTACAGGAAGCAAAGCCCGATAGAACCGAAAGGAGAAAGAGACAAGTCTGTTACAGTCCGTGACTTCAGCATTGCGTCAAGGACGAGGAGATGAAGCAGTACTGTCAGCTTGTGTTACCTAATCAACTTTGATAGACTCTTCCATGCAAGAAGGATATACAGTCTTCTCAAGCTCAGGTGGGACATGTCATAAACTACATTCTGGGCCATAAGCCACACTTCGTCAAGTTTAAAAGAGTAGAAGTTATACAAAGTATGCTCTCAGACCCCTGTGGGATTAAACTAGAAATCAATAACAGAAGGATAGCTGGAAAATTGCCCAATAATTGAAGGTTAAATAACATACTTCTAAATAGCACATGGGCCAACAAAGAAGCCTCAAGAGAAATTTTAGGAGCACCTGGGTGGCTTAGTCGGTTAAGCGTCCGACTTTCGCTTAGGTCATGATCTCTTGGTTTGTGGGTTCGAGCCCCGCGTCGGGCTCTGTGCTGAATGCCAGCTCAGAACCTGGAGCCTGTTTCAGTCTGTGACTCCCTCTCTCTCTGACCCTCCCCTGCTCACGCTGTCTCTCTCTCTCCTAGAAATAAATAAAACGTTAAAAAAAAAAAAGGAAATTTTAAAACATTTTCAGCTAAATAAAAATGAAAATTCAATTTATCAAAATTTGTAAGATGCAGCCAAAGTAGTTCTCAGTAATAAATGCATGTGTCATGAAAGAGAGATTTAAAATCAATAATCTAAGTTGTTCCTTGGGAAACCAGAGAAAGAAGAAGAATTTAAACCTAAAACAAATAGAAGACAAGAAATCATATGAATTAGGGCAGAAATCAATGAAATTGAAAACAGGAAAACAACAACAAAAAAAAACCAACAAAACAGAAATCCACTTCTCTGAAAATACCAATAAAATCAATAAACCCCTGGCCAAGTTAACACAAGAGAGAGGTAAACACACACACACACACACACACAAATTACCAATATCTTAAGTGAAAGAAAGTTTTTCACTACAGAACCCATGGCCATTAAAGTGATAATAAAAGAACACTACATACAGCTCTATGCCCACAAATTTGATAATTGAGGTGAAATATACCAACTTATTAAATGAAACACAAACTACCCATGTCCACATAAAAAGAAAAAGTAACCTGAATAGCTCTATATCTATTAAAGAAACCAAATCAATAATGTAAAAACTTAGTAAGAAGTAAAACACCAGGGTTTTACTGGTGAATTCTACCAAAGATCTAAAGAAAAAAATAATACCAATTCTACATAACCTTTTCCAGAAGTTAGAAGTGGAAAGGACAGTCCCTAACTCATTTTACAAGGCCAGCATCATCCCAGTATCAAAATCAAGCAAAGACATTGAAATAAAGGAAGACTGCGGACCAATATCTTTCATCAATATGGACATAAAAATTATCAATGAAATATTATCAGATCAAATTCAACAATGTATAAAAATAACTACACACCATGACCAAATTGAAATTATTCCAGATAGGCAAGGTGTATTCACCATTTGAAAATCCAATGATATAATCCACCATATCAACAAGCTAAAGAAGAAAAATCGCATGATCACCTCATTTGACACAGAAAAGCATTTGACAAAATCCAAAGCTCATTAAAGAAAAAATCTCAGAAAAACTAAAAATAGGGGCGCCCTGGTAGCTCAGTAGGTTAAGCGTCTGACTTCGGTTCAGGTCATGATCTCGCGGTTTGTGAGTTCAAGCCCCGCATCAGGTTCTGTGCTGACAGCTTAGAGCCTGGAGCCTTTTCAGATTCTGTGTCTCCCTCTCTGTCTGCCCCTCCGTTGCTCATGCTCTGTCTCTCTCTGTCTCAAAATAAATAAATAAACAAAAGAAAAGAAAAGGAAAGAAAAGAAAAGAATTAAGAATAGAAGGGAACTTCATTAACTTGATAAATACAGTCTACAAAGAACCTTAACTAGCATCATCCTTAGTGGTGAAAGACCAGAAGCTTTCCCCGTAATGCCACAAACAAGACAAGAATGTACTATCTCACTACAACTATTTAATATCATATTACACATTCTTGCTAGTAAAATAAGACAACAAAAAGGAATAAAAGACATACATATGGGAAACAAAGAAATAAAACTATGTGTATTGGCAAATGATGTGACTTTCTATGTAGAAAATCCCCAAAAATCCACCAAAAAAGAGAAAAACCCTCCTAAAATTTATGAGCAAATATAGCAAGGTCCTGGCATACCAGATCAATACACAAAATCAATCGCTTTGCCATATACAAGCAATTAAAAATTGGCATTCAAAGTTAGACAATATTTTTTAAAGCTCCCAAAATTCAATACCTGGGTATGGACCTAACAACATATGTACAGAATCTGTTTGCATGAAACTGAAAAACACCAATGCAATGCAATAAATCAAAAAAGATGTAAATAAATTCTGTGCTCATGGGTTGAAAGGCTTGATATTATTAAAATTTCAGTTCTTCCCAACTTGATCTATAGATTCAATATAGTATCACTCAAAATCCTAGCAAGCTAGTTTGTAGATATCAAGACACTAATGCTGACATTTATATGAGAAGGCAGAGGATGTAGCATAGCCAATAAAACACCAAAACAAACAAACAAACAAACAAACAAACCCAACAAAACTAGAGTAGTCACACTACCTAATTTTAAGATAATATAAAAAGAATGAGCCCAGAAATAGACTCACACTAGTCAACTGGTTTGTTACAAGGTGCAAAGTCAATTCCATGGAGGAAGACTATTTTTTTCAAGAAATGGTCTGGAAGAATTGGGCATCCATATAAAAAAAAAAAAAAAAAACCTATACATAAACCTTACACCTTTCACAAACATAACTCCAAATGGTTCACATACCTAAATGCAAAATTATAAAACTTCCAGAAGAAAACATAGGAGAAATTCATGATCTTGGGATTGGTTGGGAGTTTTTAGATATAACGCCCAAATCATGATCCATGAAAGACAAAGCTGACAGGTTGGATTTTCTTAAAATTAAAATCCTGCTGGGTGAAAAGCATTGTTCAGAGAATGAACACAAACCACAGACTAGAAGACAGTGTTAGAACTCACATATCTGATGAAGGACTTGTGTCCAAGATTTACAAAGAACTCTTAAAACTCAACAATAAGAAAACAAATAACCCAATTTTTAAAATAGGCAAAAGATCCAAGCAGACACCTCACCAAAGAAGATAAACAAATGTCAAAAAAGCATATGATAGATGCTCAATATAATTTTCCATTAGGGAAATGCAAATTAAAACAACAATACTATACCAACACACACCTATTACGATGACAAGGGCCAGAAAATAAGGAAGTATTCACACACACACACACACACACACACACACTCACACACACACTCACACACACACACACACACACACAAGATGGGAGAATGTCAAAGGGATGTAGGAGCCAACTGAAAAAACTCCCCAGAGCCAAAGCTGAAACAACTTAAGTAAGAAAATAAATAAAATAGAATTGGGTTATAACCCAAAATATAAAATAAATATCTGTGGGTGGATACTGATAGAAATAAGTGATTGAATGAATAAATTAAGAATGGGTCAATCTCCCATTCAGAAGAGTTCCAAATAATCTATGTAGCTACTCTTTCCTCAAGGAGGTGGAGTTTAACTCCTTACTCCTGTGGGCAAGTGTGGCTATCTTAAAAGTATCTTCCTTCCAAAGAGTACAGTATGAGTGGAGGGAAAGCATGGAAAAATAAGACACCTACCTACTGTCTCAGTCAGCTGATGAAGGGTAACCTCAAATCAATAGTGATAAATCATGTTGATAGGATGTGATGAAAATGGCACATAACCTTTGTGGTCTTCCTTTCAAAAACCCATAACCTAATCATGAAAAAAATCAGAGGAATTCCAATTGAAAAACATTCTGCAATATACCTGGCCAGTACTCCTCACAACTGTCAAGGTAATTTAAAGCAAAGGACGTCTAAGAAATTGTCATAGTGAGGAGAGCCTACGGAGATATGACATCTTAATGAAGGTGGTATCCTGGATTGTAGATACAAATATAATCCTAGAAATAATGTCCAACCCAGTATCTATGAGCATAACAAGGGGCCAGACTGCGCTCTTGCAGTAGTATTCCAGGTTTTATTTTAAAAAATTTGGGGTGGGGGGGAATAATGTATGATTCCAAGGATGGCATGGGAAATAACGCAAGATGAGACTTGAACATGTCCTACTAGTAAGAAAGGAAGCCATCAAGTTTATCAGCCACACCAAAGGACTCAGAAGCCACACTGAAGAAGCTCTCACTCTCCCAAAATGGAATAATTTGAGCTTCAGGATGGATAAGTGTTAAAATGTTCAGTGAAAACCCAGCAATTATTTTTAACTTTATGCATTTATGATAACAGTTTTTGAAGTTGGTGACTGTCTGTAAACAATAGAGAACTGATTGTTTATCTTGGAAACTAGTAAAAAAGAAGGA